CATCATAATTTTGGGGCGCTTCAAACTCATCTTCTTTTTGGTGTTATAAATAATCAGGAAGCCTTGCCTCCAACACGTAATGTACGGTGACTACAACTCCTAAGATGTCGTTAGGTAAAGACACGATCTTTATTAAGGGCATACTATAATTGTAATTATACCTAGGATGTAATTGTTTATCCAAGTGTCTATCTACAATGTAAACGCACAAAAAGACTTGCGCCAAATTGTGCTACCGTTCTCGACAGTGTTTTACTTTTTTAAATGGTTCATTCATTTTGTTCATATTTTCTTCTAAATATTGCAATTAAGAATTATTTTTTTCTTAAATGGACTTTTTCTCATATTTTTTGTTCTCTTCCGACTTCCGAGGACAGAAGTTTTGGCGGCCGATGTTGGAACCTAGGTCCTACACAGTCGTAGGAAGTATATAATGAGAGTTTCAATCCATTTGGCACCAGAGAAAAAGCCTTCGTGGACGTTTGAATAATAATTTCAAACAAAAAACAAGGCAGATATACGGAAACAAAGTTTTTTGGGCGGACATATTGTGTGCCATCTTGAAAAATGTGACCTCAAAGGTTGTTGTAATTAAGTTTTGAGTATTACAATTTTTTTGGCATTCCAAGAAAACCCCTATGCAGACGTTTAAATTATTATTTTAAGCCAACTAATAAGAGAGATATGCGAAAACAGAGTTTTAGGACGCCATCTTGGGTGTCATCTTGGAACATATGCCCCTAAAAGTTTATGTAAGTAAATTTGGAGTATTGCAATGTGCTTGGAATCCGATAAAACCCCTATGCAGATGTTAAAACTATTATTTTAGGCCAACTAAGAAGAGAGATATGCGAAAACAGAGTTTTAGGACGCCATCTTGGGTGTCATCTAGGAACATATGCCCCTAAAAGTTTATGTAAGTAAATTTTGAGTATTGCAATGTGCTTGGCATCTGAGAAAACCCCTATGCAGATTTTTAAACCAATATTTTAGGCCAAATAACAAAAGAGTAATGAGGCAAACAGGATCTGGCCGCCATCTTGGATACGGCACTTCCGGTTCAAATTTCGATTTGGCAACACGCCGATTTGTACTCAGCAGGGTCGATATTATCCTAAAAAGCTGTTTACCCAATTGTTACATGAAACTTTTCTTGCATAGCCCTTTTTAAAAACGTATCTTCTCCAATTGTGTTTAATTGTAAATTAATAACATTAATAATATATGGATTATTAAATTACAAATTATTAAATTTTGGTTATTAAATGATAGAATAATTACGTTTTTGTTACCCAAGCAGCTTTAGGGTTGATTTCGGACATATTTCGTCAGTTAAAACTCAAATTTAATCACCTCAATGTGTATTTAATCCGTTTTAAAAGTAAAATCTTTATTAAAATCTAATTTGTCACTTTTTTCAACGGGACATCACTATAAGTGTAATGGAGACTCTTAAAGGAAATTTCTTCATCTTTTCAACTATAAAAGAATTATCAAAATCGGTCGAAAAACAATGGAGTTATTTGAACTTTTCTCGATCAAGGTCAAGTCAGGTGGACCGCCATTTTGGATGGCAGCCATATTGGTACTCGACCAACGCCGATCGTGGCAACATGCGTTTTCTTACTGTCCAAAGTGTCCTTGACAACAATCAAAAGAGAAAGTGCGTCCGAATAATTTTGCATACTCAACCCCAACCACGGCCTGGTCTAAGTATACATGAACAGTCATAATGCACAGCAATTATTATGTAGTAGACTTTGACTATTTTCAAGTAACAAACATATGTTTCTGTAAATACAAATTATCTCCTATGTTATCCTTATGGAGAAATACGAAACTTTAAAGGGCCCCAGGGCCCCACTCTCTAATTATTTCCCTAAAAAGAAAGTTTCCTGCACAACTTCACGTTACGCTCTTTCCAATGACACCAAAAACATGTCAATCGGTTCAGTAGTGTCGGAGGAGTAATTGTCACAAAAAACCTGCTTGCGTATTAAATAAGTACTAGTGGTCGTCCAGTGGTCGAAAATTCGACCAAAAACATGTAATGTATACGTATTGACTATTGGATACTGAAGTATACATCCCATTTATATGGACCAGCTATCAAAATTTTTTAAATTAAAAACATGTAAGGGGCCTAGTTGTGTTTTTAAGACACCGAAAGTGTGTCTTAAATTCTATTACATACCTTATTTTTTGTTACTGACAAAGTTGATAGGTCATAACAGTTGCTATAACTCATTCAAAAAGTTTGACTTGGTAAAAACATCGTGTATTAGTCATAAATTTAGTCATTTAGATCAGCGCAGTCTGTTGGTGGCTCACACCAACCACAACGAATTTAATTAAAATCTGTTGACAGCTTTAACATGGGGATTAAAAAGGTTCAGGCTTCTCTATTTTCACCCCACACTGTAAATAAAACATGTGATTGGAATTTCTTCCATTTGTTTTGATTGTCTGTTTATATTTCGTTGTTATTTCGTAACCAGCATGACAACCCATAAAGCCCATGTTAAATTTATTAAAATTTCAAATTAATCTTTTGAGCTTATATTTGAGCCTATTTTAATTTTTAAAGAGATTCTGCACTTCTACAGGAAAATATCTTTCCAACGGTATGCGTAGATTTTCTCTGCGATGCACACGAGCTGAGTAAAAAGGTTTTAAAGAAACATGCTTGCCTATTAATATATAGACTAGCTGTACCCGCGGGCTTTGCCCCGTTTAACTTCATATGTGAGCTCGTTCGCATGGCTCAATCACGTCCTGGTTGAAGTTCGTTCGCTACGCTCACTCACCTTTATGGTTGGAGCTCGTTCGCTGCGCTCACTTGCCTTCAGGTTAGCTCGTTCGCTACGCTACCTCGCCTCCGGGTTGAAGTTCGTTCGCTACGCTCACTCACCTTCTGGTTTCAAATTAGCTGTTGTAAAATATTAAAAAAATAATAGTGCTGCACTCTGTTGGTAATCCTTGTAACTTTAATGCTATTGAACATCATGGAACAGAACCAACTTGTTTAATTGAAACAGCTGTTATGATTCATTAATTCCATTTAAATATGGGTACTCATTAGGTTAACATGGGAAACTCCAGAGCCACTGGGGCGGAGCCCGAGAGTCCGATTAGAATAAAAACCACTTAGTTTTCCTATTTAATGCCTAAAGAATCAGTGTACCAAATTTCAGCCTCCTAGGTAAGTGGGAAGTGGGAGAATTAGTGATGAGTGAGTGAGTGAGTCAGTCAGTCAGTCAGTCAGTCAGTCAGTCAGTGAGGGCTTTGCCTTTTATATATATAGATAGATATAGATATAGATAACACATAATATTTATACAGGGTGTCCCGGAACTCTCTACCAATATTTTAGGGCATTGCTCCTGGGTAAGAAACATAACTAAATATCATATTTAAACTGTCCGGAAGTCCTTAGTTACTCACACAGACGCCATTTTGTTTTTTTCAGTTATTAATTTTTTTCTAAAGAATGGTTAAACTTACGAAATGGAAACTTTGCACAAACATTTATGACAACTAGACAAAGCTACCAAAAAATTATCACGATTATTCAAATTCATAAAACAAAATGGCGGCCATTTAAAATTTTTGTAAAATCAATGGTTTTTGAGTTATTTAAGAAAGACAATTTTAAATGGCCGCCATTGTGTTTTATGAATTTGAAAAATCGCCATAATTTTTTTGTAGCTTTGTCTGGTTGTCATTAATGTTTGTGCAATGTTTCCATTTCGTATGTTTAACCATTCTTTAGAAAAAAATTAATAACCGAAAAAAACAAAATGGCGGCTGTGTGAGTAACTTAGACTTCCGGACAATTTAAATATGATATTTAGGTACGATTCTTACTAAGGATCAATGCCCTAAAATATTGGTAGAGAGTTCCGGAACACTCTGTATATGTGTCCGTTAGCGTGATAACTTGAGCAAAAATTATCCGATTTTGTTGAAATTTGGTACAAGCATGTAAACCTACATTTATTCTAACGAGTTCGCAAACCAGCAAGATCGAACCACGGGAACGGGTTTATGGGGAGTTTTATGGGGTAAAAAATGAGTTTTTCCCCTTTTTACCCTAAAAACATAACATTTTGCAATTTCTTTCCAAACTATTTTGCAGAGCTTAAAAAAAAATAATTTAGTATATTGAAGCTCTGTTGTATGCCTAAAGGTTACAGAGTTAATAAAAAAAAGTGTAAGTTTAAAATTTCTATGTTATTCTTATGAATAAAATTAAAACTGTTGTAGTTTACTTATGGATATATTTTAATGACATTTGTCAAATTTATTTATTTCATCCTATCCTATTAAAGTTTGGTCAAAAAACACTTTTTACCTTCCCCATAGCAGCAAAACTAAGCACTTGTTAAATCTAATGTTTTTTAAACTGGGAATAAATATGTCTTATTTATGGAACTGTTTAAATAAAAATGTAATCAGACAAGTTGAAATTTGCTTAGTCTGCAGGTTTGCTGCGGCTGGGGTATTTTCCCTCCATTTGGCAATACCGAGGGCCCGTTAGCACTTTTGTTTAGTGCTGCTATCAGTAGGGTTCTTTTAAAACTACGTCCACAATCACTGGATTGTGTTACATGCTATAATATGCATCTCCTATTGAATGAAATTGAATTCAAACGTCTTTGCGCACTCATTCACACAGCACATTAGCTATTCCCGCATCCAGCTGCGGCCGGCCATCACGCAACCGCAGTGAACATATCTTTAATATGTTTTTTCAAAGTGGATGATAGCCTGAGGCAGGGGTTTTAGAAAGTGCGAGTCCAATACTACGTTCGATTTCTTTCCTGATGGTATAGCAAAAAGTGGGTACCCATCAATATTTTACTCTGTAAACCACCATTGTACAACTAATAACGTAGGGGACCCTTGGTTGATATTGACACAGGAATGGATCTATAATATTCAGTTTGGTGATTATATTTCTTGTATAGTTTCTGCTTAATTTATCCTTCTTCAACCAGGTAATTGAACCCTCCGAGATGCATGCTCTAGGGGTGGCAACCCCTCACACTACACACTGTCTACCCTCTGGAGACATCATGATATCCACCATGGGCACAGTGGAGGGTGAGGGACTAGGGGACTTTGTCTTGGTCGATGGTGCTTCTTGGAAAGTCAAAGGTTTGTACATCAGTTACCGGTATTAAATACTTAAGAGCCCTGAGCGTCCAAGCAAGATGACCAATCTTGATGTCGGCATCTTTCTTGGATCCTGGGAATGTCAATTGGTACCATATGTACGATAGGCCTAGGGCATAAGTGCGATAGGTAGTTTTGTATATTTTTGTTAGATGTTTGTGTATGTTTATGTGTTTTAACATTGACGATGCTGCCGTAACTGAATCTTCAACTGTCTTCAGTTAATGCCAAAACGGCAGTAACACAAGTTACAACTGTTAAGTGTTGGTAAGCTTTTATTTACTGTGGCAATATCACAGCACAGGATCTTAAACATGAATTTTAATATTTTATTTTATCAGATGATTTAGGTTTATACTGAGAAAAACTGTAGATTTAGTTAAATGGAGGCTATATAATCTTAGTATAATTGCAAGTTTGTGATTAGACAACTGTTGGTGGAATTAGCAACATAAATATTAAATAAAAAACCATGATTGGCACACCCTTTTCAAAACATATCTTAAATGAAGTTATAGTAATTACCATGGCTTGTTCAGGTTTGTGGACCCAAGGCCAGGCTGCCAAGTTTGGATATGACTTCTGGTATCAGCCGTATTGGGATGTGATGATATCCAGTGAGTGGGGCGCACCCAAGTCCTTCAAGCCAGGCTACAAACACGACGATGTTTTGAATCCAGGTATGTTAACAAACTGCAATTTTATACCATACATTTCTAGGATGATCTTGGTGTCTCTTAAATCTCACATTTGTGATTAAACTGTCTAGTTCATAAAAAAGAATTAAACTTGTTGATACAAGTGAAAATATTTTTTTAGACAGCTGACTTACAATTAAAAAAGAACTGGTAATTCTAACATGTAAAACTTGAACCAGTTATCCAACCGTCTTAAGTCTGGTTATCCTGGAGCAACAAAATTAAGTTATAAACCTTAATATAAAGCCTCAAGATGGCAGAGTAAATCAACTCCTTGATTGGCAATTAATTCAACTAACGGAATAGAAGTGGAGTTAGCCAGTTAAATCAACTCCTGCATACCGGCAAGACGGTTCAACTAATACCAGTATCAATTATCAATTCTTTGAGACAGCAATATACTAATACCCAATCATTGGTAAACGAGCCCTGTTTCATTAAAGTATTAGTCTAGTATTTACTAGTCCATGGACTTGTAATAATAGTGTATCTTACAAGTCTACATTTCAAAAAATTACTAGTGTAAAATACTAGTTACTAGTGTAAAATACTAGTTACTAGTGTAGGGGACTAGTGTATTACTAGGGGGTTTTACTAGTGTAGGTAGCAAGTGTGTTTCATAAAGTTTTACTCTTAAAATTACACTGGTAAATACTTGCCATTTTCTACCAACCTCTCTACACCTGTATTATTTGTAGTAGCCTTGTATTTTTGAAAATAGTGATATTTCATTACTCGCATAATTGTAAATACCCCCGCTGCAGCAAACCTGCAGACTAAGCGAATTTCCATTTGCCTGATTGGATTTACACTAAAATGTCTCCTTAAAAATATCACATTTATTCCCTACTAGTGTACATGTTGCTCGAATTCGAGCAATTGCAAAGTATTACAGGAGTTATTTCAAAACGAATTAGTCATATTTACAATGAGTTTAAAAGAGTCAGCTCAAAGATTACCGGTGTGCAACTCAGACCATGTTTATCTTCGTTATTGATAAACTTAAAGCATTCCGGCCGGTTTTCTCCTTCTCAAAATGCCTGGCTGTACAGGCAACACAGGTCATTGATAGAGGGCCAATTGAGAACGAAAAGTCGTTTTGGGGTAGTAATAGGGCGCATTTGTAACCTAACAGTTGAGATTGTCCAGGGTCAGGTGCTGACTGCGATGAGTTAAGTTACGCGCCACTGTTCTGTAGCTGCGGTCATTATCACGATTACGCCTCCTGTCTATGTTTTGTTGTCGTCGCGTCGGAGGTATTTAAAATAAAATAAAAAAAACAACAAATAAACAAATTATAGCTACACAAAACAAATTTATAAATAAAAAAAATGTAATTTGTAAATTATAAGTTAAAAATTATAAATGCACAAATCATGCTAACACGATCCGATCATAGCGACACAAAACAACGATAAATACACAAATTTAAGATACAACCATACCAACATGATCCGTCTTGGGGGTTATGTTTACACAAACTCAAATAGTAAATAAATGTACTCAATGCGTTTCATTGAATTGAAAAATAAATAACAGCAATTAAATAATACAGCTGATCAAAATGTAAACAATTATGTTCTTCATAAGGATAACATGGGAACTTTCAAAGCCACTGGGGCAGAGCCCAAGGGACCTTTTCAAAAATGTAAGGCCAGTTTGCAAATCTACGCGACACGCTCTTTCCAATGAGACGTCAATCGATAAAATCGGTTAAGAAATGGCGGAGGAGTTCAACCGACAAAGTTTCATGTAGCGTATTAATTATATAGATTTAAATAGAATCAGTTTAACACATACTTAGGTTTGCTGCGACAGGGAGGGTAATTTTTTTAAATGTAAAATGTTAATAGTTTGTAAGAAATAAACACATTTTCCAAATTTGGGCAAAATATGTTAATAAACAAGCAAACTACAACAGTTTACTTATTCTCCATAAGAATAACATGGTAATTTTAAATTTACAATTTTTTGGAATTTTCTCCGTAACCATTAGGCGCATTATAACGCTTCAATATACTAAATTATTTGTTTTTTTAAGCTTTACAAAATAGTTTGGAAAGAAATTGTAAAATTTTATGTTTTTTGGGTCAAAAATACCATCATCATGTTTTTTTGGGTCATAAAACCCCCGTTCCCATGGTCCGATCATGCTGGTTTGCGAACTCGTTAGAATAAACGTAGGTTTACACGTTTGTACCAAATTTCATCATAATCGGATCATTTTTGCTCGAGTTATCGCGTCAACGGACACACATATATATCTATATATGAATAATTTGATTGTATTTATTTTCTTAGTTTTACATATTTAAATTTAATAACATTGTGAAAGACTGTGACCATGACCTTAGTGTTGAAATGCATCAGTCTTTAAAAATAATTTTTAAAAAAGGGTACTATGGTGTATTATTTATTAATATTATATTACAGTAGCCCTAGACGTGAACAATATCAAATATAATATATATATATATCGTTTGTATGAATCACTTACATCTGAGGAATTGGATGATCTTGAACCTCTTAAACATAGGTTGTTCACAGATCTAACTGGTCGCTCATTTCCATGAATCACTTACTTCTGAAGAATTGGATTTTGAACCTTCTCAAAATGACTCGTTGTTCTCAGATCTGACTGGTCGCTCCCTGAACGTTTACTCGTGGAAGGATCGCAAGCTGTTGCAGACCATTGCCCTGGGAGAGGATGGAGTCGCTCCTCTGGAGATTAGGTTTTTGCACAATCCTCTGGCCGCCCAGGGTTTTGTAGGCTGTGCAGTTACATCTGCCATCTTCAGGTGAGATCCATGTGAATGTATTTGAAAAATTGGGTATTTTCCACTTGATACTGATGTTACATTGTTTTGTGGTTAAATTAAAATCTAGTTTACCTCAACAAATCACTACACTTTATTATGTCACTATCCGGTTATGTGGAGATATGTCAGTGTGTATCATGCCCAGGTTTAGGGTAAATTTCGCACTTGGATGTAAACAGCTTCAGCTCCGCCACTTCTAGGGGTCCTTCCCAAAATATTTTTGAAAGTAAAGTGTCTGTGTACTGTGGCTATTTGGAGGTTAAAATTCTGATTTAAATTTGTGTTCTACATGTTTTTTTTTTTTTTTTTTTTTTTTTTTTTAGAAAACTAAAAAAAAAACAATACTGAAAAAATGTTTTTGGAAATTTACACTCTAAAACTTTGGCACTCTGGTCCTCTAGCCTCACTAAGAATAAGAATAAGAATATCTTTATTTTCATAACAGTACATACTTTAACAACTAGCAAAGCTAGAACAGAATAGATGACATTGTCAATGCAGTAAAGTTATCATAATTGAGTACACCTAGCAATAAGTATCCAGAAAAAAAAAATTAATCAAACCTCACAAAAATCATTTTAAGAACAGGAATTATCCCTTTACAAGTTGTTTTTCTAAAACTTATCATTTAAAAATGCGTCAACTGAATAATAATTTTTTTAAATCAAAAAATCCTTTAACTTTTTTCTAAAGCTGTTTTCCTTTATTATTTCCTTCAACTCGCTGGGTAGTGTATTGTAGAGTTTCCTCCCCATATATTGTGGTGTCTTTTCAGATAGTGTCAGACGGTGTCTTGAATACTGAAAATTTGCTTGAAATCTAGTTTCATGATGGTGTCCTATGCTGTTTTACTTAATTTAAATTTCCAAATTATTTTTAACAAACATAAGACATCTTAAAGTATATAGGCAGGGAACAGGTTATATACCCTGTACAATCAATATGTTCGTTCCAATTTAATTTTTGTCAATGATTACTCCGAGCAATTTTTGTTGTGAAATATTATCTGCCATAGGCCTATTTGATTTTTTAAAGTATGAAATTTGTTTTATCACTGTTTTAGTGCCAGGCCATTAGCTGTAAACCATTCACGGCAATCTTCCAAGCGGTTTTTACTGAAATTTGCGCATCGGACATTGAGATGCCCTTAACAACAAAAGCAGTGGTATCATTTTGCAAAAAGTAATAATTCTGAAAGAATTTTTTGGGGCAAGTCATTGATATAGATGATAAATAATAAAGGCCCCAGAATTGAGCCTTGAGGAATTCTGCATTCTATATTTATTTATCCAGTTTGTGAATTAGTACTTCATGATTGACCAGGTCAAATGCCATAGACAAATCACATGTCTCATCTTAAGACAATTAATTACTGTGCAACTATTGAGTCAAAAGAAAAAACTGAGTATACTTGATGTTTACCACATTTTAATAATAAATTTCACAACACAAAAGATAGATGAACCTTTCTTAATTAATAGCTTCAATTTTTAGATTTTTCCGAAAAGTCGATGGTACTTGGGCTGCAGAAAGAGTAATACGCATTCCACCAAAGAAAGTCAAAGGATGGGCTCTTCCTGAATTAGAAGGTAAAAAACTATAAACTAAAAGTTTACCCTCTTTCCTTATTTTTTTCTTCCAAGAGGTTTGGTTGACACGTTGCTTGCTAGTCAGAGGCAGCCCTCACTTTTAGATGGGTAGATAAATTAATAAATGTTTATTCATAATGTAACTCCTTGTTGTCCGGGTGGTTCCCCGCCCCTTTAAGTGAAATGCTGCCAATCTTGCTATAGTCCATATTCTTTAAAATAATCTTAAAGGTAAAAGATTTTTCCAATGTATTGCAGCATCAATAGCAACATTAAGCTAACATTTTCCAGCAAAGTTAAAACCATCATTGTATATTGTTTAGCATAGGCTACATAATAAACTGTAGGCACCAAACTAATGATCTTTTAATTTTACCAGGGATGGTGACAGACATAGTCATCTCACTGGATGATCGGTTCCTCTACCTCAGCAACTGGTTACATGGAGACGTAAGGCAATACGATATTACCAACCCTTCTCAACCAAAACTGACGGGACAAGTTTTCATAGGAGGTAAAATTGTCAAGGGAGGTCCAATAGAAGTTATAGAGGATCAAGAATTGTCTGTAAGTGATGTTATGCTTTTAAAATTGATCACTGTTTTTTTAATTTGCTTACGAAGAGTTTTTATACTTTATACAGTTGAATATTCTTGCCATCAAGACTCATAATGCAACGTACCCTTGTTCCTCTTATGTGTTGTGTTCCGAGGATTACTAATTTCAGGTTACAAGACCCATTGTCAAATTCAACATCAAATTGGTAACCAATAAAATCCGACAGTCTTCTCACTTTGTTCCATCATGTCCACCATGATTTAAGTGTGGCTGGCCTAGCGTTCGTTGAAATGTTTCTCTGTTTTAAATGTTAACCTCATTTGCCGATTGATGAAAATATCCGTCACATTTTATAGACCTTCAATTTATTGTTGGATTTGAGAAAGAATCTTATGACCAAAAACTAGTGGTCCTTCTGAATACAATACATAAGATGAAAGACTGACAAAGGTAGTTGAAACATAGTATTTTATCAGGCTTCAAATTATCTAGAAATTATTTTTACAGAATTTCCTCTAATACAGCATTAAAGTAAAACAATTTGGGATCTCTTACCGTAAGATGTTGTTTCTATGAGTGAAAGTGTAAGGAAGTTCATTCACAAAAAAGAAAATTATGTAGAAAAACACAATAAACTACTGATCAAGTTATACCTGGGTAGTTTTAATGTCCCATTTTCATATCCTGGAATCCTAGGCCCTAGAGCTAGACTGAGATAATTTTTCATATTACTTCAGGCTATGCAATTATTTCAGGAGGTTGGGTCATTATGACTGAGATAAAATCCATTGGTGATTGGCGAGATTTGTACCCGCAACCTCAGGAACCTACTGGAAGAACTGATGGGAGAAAGTATGTGTTAGTTTGCTGGTACCGTTTATTTTGATCTATCTCACGTCCAGTTGTTTGTATGACAGGAGCAGCCTAAGCCTGTAGTCATCAAGGGCCGCAAGATCCAAGGCTCGGCTCAGATGCTCCAACTGAGTCTGGACGGAAAGAGACTCTACGTCACAACCTCCCTCTTTTCTCCCTGGGACAAACAGATCTACCCGGACATGGTCCAGTAAGTCCTATTTATCCCAGGTATTATTATTCAAAATCTAAACTAATTGAAATAATGTCTACTCCTTTAAAGTTATTAAAAAGCCACCCTGCTACCATAACATAATGCAGGAAGCCAATTTAAATGTTAGCAACTAACAGAATGTTTCCATTGTTTCAGAACCGGATCTGTTTTGGTAAAACTCGACATAGATACAGAGAAAGGAGGGATGAAACTGGATGAAGACTTCTTGGTGGACTTTGGAAAAGAGCCTGAAGGTCCGGTGTTGGCGCATGAAACTCGGTAAACTGTTTAATTATAAACTTTGTAACGATTCTCCATTTAAAGGTCTATAGTGAATCCCTGAGCCTGGAAACTTAATATTTGTATGCCTGTTGATCATAGTGTATGTTAGATAAGTATAGGGAAATATTTAATTATTTCACGGCAATGCCATTTACAAAAGAAATAAAAGATAAACATATTCATATTATCTAATTTCAGGTATCCGGGTGGTGATTGCACTTCGGACATCTGGTTAGTGGACGAAGCTAAAGAACAAGTAGCCGCTGTTTAACAGTTTCTGCTTGAATATCCCTTAACTGTTTCACTATGTATCGCACAATAACAATATTTAATAGTTTAATAAATATCACCTGTTACTTGTTTTAATTATTTTCTTCCATAAAATTAGTTATTTCCCCGTATGAAATCACTTTTAAATTTGTAGTAGCAATAATTAATCTATATAATTAATACGCTACATGAAACTTTGTCGGTTGAACTCCTCCGCCATTTCTTAACTGATTTTATCCATTGACGTCTCATTGGAAAGAGCGTGTCGCGTAGATTCACAAACTGGCCTTACATTTTTGAAAAAGTCCCTTGGGCTCTGTGCCAGTGGATTTGAAAGTTCCCATTTTATCCTTATGAAGAACATAATTGTTTACATTTTGATCAGCTGTAGAATTTAATTGCTGTTATTTATTTTTCAATTCAACGAAACGCATTGGGTACATTTACAGATTTTGTTGAAATTAAATATTTACTACTTCAATTACATTCGTACATATTACTATATAAAAAATCGAGAAAGCCTGGACAATTTGATATATTTTACCAATTAAGAAAAATGAATTGACATAGTACTGTATTTCTTGAGAAACCATTGAAAGAACCCATTTATTAACCATGGAAACATAGCAGTCATAGAACGCCACCAAGTAGAAGAAATAGAGATTTAAAAAAATTGCCATCGTTATCAACCTATATAATGAAGAACACCTACAGCTACAATATGAAGATTCCTACAAACAACGAACAAGGATGTTAGCCGAAGTGTTACTATTTTGTAGGAAACACGGACTTTACTTTATGATTGGCAAAGGAAAATACTCTAAGGCTGAATTAAAGTGGTACGGCAAGGACATTAAATATATGCTTTCATAAAAGTCAAGTGATTTTAAAATAATATTATTACATCCAAGAAACCTTAATAAAACTTTCACTGAAGAATTCTCATTTATCACATTACCATCTGAACAACGTTAGGCCTTTCAATTCTGCATTTTTTCAGGTAAATATAACTTACATTATAACAGTAACTAGCCAAATTAATGCCAATTGAAGCAAATAAAATTGTGACAGAGAGGTTATGCAGAAAATCATGTAGTTCTTAAGTAATGTAAACAAAATGTTATCCCTATAAAAAAATGGACTGAAATTTGTAAACGTACTGGTGACAATGGGTAGTACTATGCCTATTACATTATCATTGACGAAGATCAACATGGACAACCTAATGCGGCTATAAGTGGGAAAGATGCACTATGTGTACATTTTACCAGCTTCTATGCTGTCGAGGGGTCTCTAACTTAATGTGGCTCTAACAAAACTGAAACTGCAACAAACTGGCAATACTACAGATATAACCGTCCAATGCACCAAATTCCCACTGGAAAAGAAAAACTAGAAAAACTGTGCTTGAACTGCTAGAATCTATTCAGCTTGTTTCAAAATTAGAGTGCTCGAGGTGGAGGGGATGGAATAATTTCTCCTCAAACCACCTATATTTTGTGAACGGAGTATAGCATTCTACAAATCAAAGTATAGCTAGAGATAACTATACCAAATCAATATAAGCACATTATTTATAGAAAAATTATATACAGGGTGTCCACAAAGTCTGGAAATCACATCGTATGAAAACGAGTGATAGTAAGATAAAGATTTACTTACAAATATAACAGGGAACTTCTTAAGATTTTATAGCTATGGTCAAACTTAATTTAATACACCTCTGCGTGTGCATTTCCAGCGGCCTGCAGATATTCTAGACGTCTTTTTAGTTTGTCCCAGGTTTTAGTCAGCATATCCTGGGTTACAGATGGCACAACATTTCTGATTCTCTCCTTCAGTGTTTGTAAATGAGGAACTGGGAAAGAATAGACAGTATCCTTGACAAATCCCCACAAAAAGAAACCCATGGGGGTTACACCGGGGGAACGTGGTGGCCATTTCGTCAGGCCATCACGCCCGACCCAGCGTCCGGGGAAGTGGCGATTTAAAAAATCCCTCACACATTTGGCTCAATGAGGCAGGGAGCCGCCTTGCTGGAAAATTATCATAGGTTGCTGTTCTTCTAATTGAGGGACTACATACAACTCCAACATATCCAAGAAAACAAACCTATTCACATTTTCTTCCGCAAAGAAAATTAGGCCAATGATGCCATAATGCATTACACCGCACCAAACATTTAGTTTTGGACAGTCACTTTCTTTTTCAATCACGATACTGGGATTTTTCACTCCCCCAAATTCTACAATTAATTGTGACTGTTAGTTAACCTTCCCAGTTTGGGATTGGGTTTCCTGAAGCCACAAAACACTCTTTGATTTCTCTTGTAAATGTACAATTTCTGATTTGTTTTTGTATTGAATCATTACTGTATTGTTGTCAATCAGCTGTGTTTAGATGTTACAAACTTCATTAAATAAAACCTGCTTAAATTCCCTTCAAAACAAGGTATACAAGTTAAGCATGGCTGTAATAGTTTTTGTACAGCAAAGCTATTAAATCAGGCCAAGACTTTGTGGACACCCGGTAATATTTTGTATACCAGTTATTATTGCTGGATCAATAAATATATTCAGGTATAGGCAATAACTTATATTTCGTTAGAGGTATAAACATATTTATTTACATTGTCATATAAAATACATAACATAATGGACATAATAACAGTGAAAACCATTGAAGACAGTTCCAAACTTTTCTTCAATGGTTTTATATACATTAATTTTATTCATAGATTAATGGGTACATACATTTTAGGACTAGCAAGCAATTTGTTTATAAAATAAAATAACATTGAAGATTTTTTGTTAGGCTATCTTATTTTTGTCACTAGTTGATACAACAGTTTTTTGAGCTTAAAAGATTACAAATGTTTATAGTTGAGTTTGGAAGTGTTGCAATAAAATTTTGTAGTTAGCAGTTACAAATGGCCAATAATTCAAATATAGGTTGTAAGCTCTTACAAATATTGGTCCCAATGGCACTTTGTATGTTAAATGGAATTATTATCCAATTAACAATATTATATTGTCATTTCAATCAAGTTTAAGTTTGTACAGTAGTTTTTGCCCAACCAGTGTTTAAGGAGTTGATATTTAGGAAGGCCTGAGTAGGTTTAAAACTGGTTTGAATTGGCTACATGGCATCTAATGCAAACCTGCTGAAAAAAATAACGTAGAACATATTTATAGGAAATACGTTGCTTTGACCTATCTCTTCTTTTCTGTTGACTTGCCATAAGAATAAATACCCCCGCCGCAGCAAACCTGCCGACTAAGCGAATTTCCATTTGTCTGAATTGATTTTCAGTTAAATATATTTTAATAACATTAGGTTTAACGAGTACCTAGGTTTGCTGCTACAAAGAAACTAATAAAGTGTGTTTTTGAGTAAAATATTGATAGCTTAGTAGAAAATAAATAAATTTGCCAAGTTTGATCAAAATATATCCATAAACAAGCAAACTACAACATTTGACAATATTCTCCATAAGAATAACATGGGAATTTTAAATTTAAAATTTTTTTAATTTTCTCCGTTACTAATAATCGAACAAAAATACTTTTATATACTAAATTATTTGTTTTTTTAAGCTCTTTAAAAAGGTCTAAAGATAAATCGGGAAATTTTGTGTTTTGAGGGTCAAAAGTGAGAAAAACCAATTTTTACCCCATAAAACCCCCCCGTAAAGCCCCGTTCCCATGATCCGATCGTGCTGGTTCGCGAACTCATTCAAGTTTATCCCGCTTTACACCTTTAAACCAAATTTTATCAAAATCGGACAAAAATTACTCAAGTTATCGCGTTCACGGACGTATATATATATATATAAGTCTATATATATATATATATATATATACATATATAAAAATTTGAACGAATGGTGTTTTTGGCCTCTGGGGACATCAAAATGAAAAAGTAAATCGGTCCCGGGTCTAGGTCTTACCGTGCCACCTACGGTAATAGCTACTTCCCTATAGGGAAATTCGCTAATAGCTACTTCCCTATAGGGAAATTCGCTAATACTTCCCTATAGGGAAATTCGCTAATAGCTACTTCCCTATAGGGAAATTCGCTAATAGCTACTTCCCTATAGGGAAATTCGCTAATAGCTACTTCCCTATAGGGAAATTCGCTAAAAAACATCTTATATTTTGGAAAACTCAATACATTTGTAAAGGATCTTTTTCAGTACCTAACTCAACATTTTGTGAATTTTTTCTCGTGACTCATATCACATGAAACCCTTAAAAAATCTTGCAACTTTCTCTTCCATAAACTCATTTTATATTCTTACTGATATATATATTTTGTAACTTATAACTTCATTACACTTCAATAAATATTGGTTTTATGTCAGTGCCTACATATTTAGAAGTGTATCATAATTTTCTACTCTGTAAAATCTAGAATTCATCCTGAAAGCTACCTTACTGACTAACTAGCTGAAGACAAAATGAGAGGTTGCATATATTTTTTACGGATTAAATATTTCCTCTTAAGATTTGTTTGGACTGACTGAATATTATAGTCTATAGTGATGTAAACAACATAAATCTAAGATATTAATACTAGACAATGCCTTTTCATCCCTTGCTTTTTACCCGCTTTGATGATAGCAAGATTTATCTCGTAAAAGGCTGTTTAACACACCTTTCTTAGGGTTTTACCTTTGACAGACTGTTTACAAAAATGTTTTTGAACATCACCATTAGAAGATCATAAAAAAACATCACTTGTATCTGAGCATTATATACTGTTAGTAACAGTTTAAAAAGTATATTTACTTTTTTTAAATTCAATATTAATTCAGTTTTGTTTTGCACATTTAATGATTGTATATTCAATTTACTTACTTGCTTGATATAGGATGCACCACAGAGAAGTAAGGTACAGAGGAAACATTCAATGGCAGGTACTGTACACTTAAAGGCGGTGACACACTATCGATCTTTTCCCCGAACCGAGCAGGGAGAAGGGAGGTAAAAATCTGCAAATTTTCAATCCGAACATTTCCTGGAACAAGACCAAGACCAGACAAGTTCTACCGAGCGCGGTAAAAGGGAGTTTAGAGAAAGATGGAGAGCGTGTGTGAGTGAGAGCGCGAAGGCGGTAATAATAAAACATGAAATAACATGTTACAGAATGATAGTTTTGATTGTCTTTAGCAATTGTTATGTTTATATTAATTTTGAAAGAATTAAAGTATTTACTTAATTCAAGTTAAACATCATTGGTATCATTGATTTAACGGTTTCAACTTGTAAAATACATTTTCAACCTTGACCAAACAAACAACAAAATTACAACATAAATGTCCATAATATATAACGGCAAAATATTACCCAACATTTATTTATTTTAGCAATTAAAGAGTTTAATTGCCATATTAAATTAGAACTATCAACGCTAGCGCAGGCGGCCGCTCGTTGCGGCGCTCGCGACGATGTACGGGGCAAAAATGTACCGTGACACACTATCGTACATCACTCCGTACATCGGACCGATCATTTCTTTGATCTTTTGCCAAAAAACCGCCTCCAGAGCGCTCGTCTCCCTGCTCGGCCTGATGTCTGGATCGGTGTACGGACCCGTGACACACTATCGAACATTCTCCCTTCTCCCTTCTCCCTGCTCGGTTCGGGGTCTTGTTCGGGGAAAAGATCGATAGTGTAACACCGTCTTAAATGGTGTCTAGGACAAAGTCCAACATGACCCTCCTCACCCTCATATATTACAACGCTCATGGTGGAGAAGACCCTGTGCCCTGTGCGATTGGAACACAGTGTTTGCCGCTCGGTCTCTACCTTGCCCGTCACAAGTATATTTCCGCTCAACATACCAGTGCTGAAAGCGTACTGGTCCCATAAGTGTGTTTCCTCTGTACCTTACTTCTCCATGGTTACAAAATGACGTTTTGTAATTGTAAGTTTGCATACACAAAAAGGTACCAAATACATAGTCACTTTTCCTGTTTGCTAAATTTAATAATAATTAAACTGTCATAGCAGTCTAGTGATGGTATAAAGTTTCAAGTAGTTCAAAGATTGAAATAACTCATTAAACAGTTTAATCAAAATTCAAGTTTGTCTGAACTATGCTTTTCAAGTTTTAAAATAGCACTAGCATTTTCTTCTGCTGTACATAGTGTACTATAGCAATTATTGGCAAATACAGTAGAGTCCCGCAAACTCGGCACTCGATAACCCGGCAGTCTGGATAACTCGGCCATCACCTGGCTCAGAAAATTAGTGATTTTTTGAGTCCGAGTTAAACAGTGGACACAAGTCAGCTCTAGTATAATCATTTGTAACTCGTACTGAGGATTTGTTGTACTATATCCGATGACTTATAATATAAATCTAATTAAAAAAGGCGGTTAAAAAGCTTAAAAATTGTATTGTTCTTATTTTTAACTCTAGTTCCCGATAACCCGGCATTTCACAAACTCGGCACCCTTCCAGTCCACATTACGCCAAGTTTGCGGGACTCTACTGTACAGTACTTGCAAAAAAGTTTTTTTTTGCAGTTTGACTTTCAAGGTGTCCACAAAACCTGTATTAAATTTTATCCACAAACAAACTATATGACCTTTAATTGATACTTTTTCCAGTCTCAAACCATAATTAACTACACAACTCCAATGTCAGCATTCCATCCTAGTACCCATGTTTGCCTTTCCTCACCACAAGAACGATCTTCTGGAATTAATTTATTTTACAAAATGTGAACACTGAACACCTTAGTGTTTTATTGTGTACTTCACTTTTTTGCACAATATGATATTAAAATTCAATAATGGTATTGTATGATCAATCAAAAAGACTAATTAAACTCATTACATAATAATTTTCACCTCACCAACAATCTGTAAGGACTTCTTAAATATTTCCCAAAACATTTCTAGCTGCTCCATTTCTCCAAAACCCTGTCAAATACAATTTCACAGTAAATACTCCAAAAAATATCTCTCTCAAACGGAAACTTAAAACATCTTTTCAAGTAAACATTTTCCAAAAATAAACTTACGACATCACGAGGGATTTTACCAACACCTGGCACCGTCTTCGAAGTAGACTTCTGAAACTTCCACTAGTCTGAGCCTCCGATCCGTCAGTTGAGTATCGTATCACAGTGTGTAGCGTATGTGTACCAGTAGATCTATCAGCTGATATCACGAAGGACTCCCAGCACGCGCCAGCTGAGCTCTCAAGGCCGTCGACTCTTGCTTCATCTGGCGCAGATCTGCAGAAATCCTCTCCAACTTAGACGCTGTATCTTTCGCCCTCTCCACTTCAATCTGTGAGGACGGGTTAACATGTTAAAAATTATTCAAGTAATAATGTTTCTCCGTGAGGCCTACTGCCACACAATGCGACTCGGTTACCATGACTTTTTTATACCAGACCTCGCAAGAAGTTGGCCACAATTAAGTGACTTTTAACTGTTAAGGTTGATTTTTAATGAATAAGGAGGACCTGTTGCTGTTTATTGAATATCTGAAAAGGAAGAGGAAACACAGATTTGGAGCGCATTCCCTGAAACATTGTTATTTCCACACCCTAAAAACATTGTGTAAGTTCGATATTTTAAATGGTATTTTCAACACACAATTTTTTTGTAATGTTTTAGGATGAGGAAACAAGCTAATGCCATCGAAGATGACGTGAATAAACTTGTGAGGTTTCGGATTAGTATAGCACTAAAATGTACTTAATCATGTACATCTCATAGAGATATTTCCACGTTTTTTTTTTGTCGATGATAGTATTTGCGTTCTGTACTAAACACCATGTTTTCCATATTTAATTGCTGTCAGAACAAAACTGAATAAGATACACAGTGAAACGGTGCAGGAACTGGGTGTGTGAGGGAGCAACTAGTGACATAGTGTGGCCGGTGTTGTAAGATGACATGGGGGAGAGTATTTGTCGCAGTGTCCAAAATTACTCCCGGAGAGGTGCATTTTTAATTGAGTCATATGGCGTTTGCATAGCAACTGAAAAATATTTTTTTAGGCAGAGTAATTAATTACATTGAGGGCATTGAGGCTCATTATAGCGAGGTTCAATTGTAATAGGAAGATGTGATCAGCAAGATAGTTATTTCATTCGCTCATTCAAACACTTCGGACGACGTTAGAAAAATAATAGGATATTTTCAGTAACCTAATACAAAGGTAATTAGGTTACACTTCATCCCTAATATTTTTCCTATTATGTTACATAACGCCCACTTCTAGTTGTACACCTCACCTGTTCTTCCAAGTCTCTGATCTCTCTCACTGTGGCGCCCGTCTCTTCGATCATCTCCACCACTTGGCGGCACTCGGAATGTAGCTGCATCAGGAGTTTGTAGATTTTACGAGACGCGTTGTCTTGTTTACAGTCCTGGAATTAAAATACGATTAGGAGCCTGGTACGAGTAATACTGATTAGTGATTATAATCCAAGAAACAGAGGTAGCAGGGTAGTAAAACTATTCCCAACCGTTTAGCACTTAGTAGTTTAAGCAAAAGATATCCAGATGTGGATTCTGTTGGTGTCTGTCTATGTATTTTTTCCAGCTGAACGCAAAAACTATCAAACCAACTGCACTGAAATTCTACACAAAGGTTAATCAAGAACCCACTTAAGATAGGCCTACAGTGTTCATAGCAAATTGAAAGTCTTTGCAAAGCACAAATAAAACAACCAGTTTCTAATAACAGGTGATGATAACCAAAACCTGACACCTTCGAAGGTTTCAGAAACTGGAATTCCACATTGAAAAACATTTGGGGATTACCACCGTGTGCTTAAACACCAATTTGAACTGTCAAGGAAAGGTCCAATGTTATAAAACTTTGTTTTGACTAAAATTTCTTCCATCTTAACACTTCTCCTCATTAGCCGAGGAAAATAGAGAGACATGATTCATTTTAGTAGTATTTAAGGAGTTTGAGTAATAGTCACAGTAGTGCACAAAACAAACTACTGTACACCACTTATACATCTTTACAAAAAGCATAAATTATATTTCAATCAATTTTCTAACAACGAATCTTAATTGTACTAAAGTTAAAACTAATGATACACTTCCTCACCCTGAATATAAGTTCATCTGCGTAAGTGAAGGATCTATCTACTCGGTCTGAGACAATATTAATATCTCTCTGCAACTGCTTGGTGTCTTCCACAATCTTATCTATCTCTTCTCTCTGCTTCTTTATGTTGCCGATGATTTCCAGGATTCTTCTTGTGTAAGCAGTTCTGAAAAAAAATCCCCTGACATTGCATCATGGTTTCACGGCTTCGCCATAATTTACACTAAAAGTTATTGCTTTAGATCCCTAAAATGGTAGTTGCTACAGTTTTTTTGGAGAGAAATATCAAATTGTGATCTTTTTGGGAATGCCTAAAACTCTTTATGTTGGTGGTAAAAACTCACTGTACTATACACAACAGCAACCCCTTTTTCATCGAATATGGCCAACTGCTTCGACCCAGGGGCATATGCTCGCAAAATCCCAGGTTAACACAAAGTGAACGTTGGGTTCTCCTTGTAAAAAACATTACATACACATCTTACATCCACACACATTTAATGATAGTATAACAATTGTTGATACTTTTATTCTCTAACCTCACTTTACGCATTATCCAAACAAAGAGTTTCAGGCTGTTGACGGTACATAAAAAATTCAAAACGCAATAAATTTGATATTTCACCCCTAGAAGGGGGCTTCCTTCTTGAGATGAAGGGGAGGAAGCCACATTGTAGTGGTAAAATATCTAATTAATCATATTGTGGATTTTTGTGTACTGATAACAGCCTTATGGTTTATCTAATGGAATTAATTTTTGGGTCAAGTTCGGGTTGGGTCCGACTGAGCCAAGCTTTTATTTTGGCGATCAAAGGAACCTTCTGCAAAGCTGGTGATCGAAAATTGACAATTTATGGCAATGGTAGATGTTGTTCACGGTTTTGGCACGATCATGGGAGACAATGTTGAGGCTGTAACCATGAAAGACATTCACAATTTCACCGTCTCCACAGAAAATGTTGACGATATCTACCTGTTCGTAGATTCGGTTCCCTCAAATCGTAGTGAATCAAGAACATCTTCTGTGGTTAGGGAAAAATCGTTTATGTCTTCTGCAGTCTCAGCCAAATTTAGACCATCATGCATTGTCACGGCAAAATCCGGAACCTCTTTTGCAGTTACGGCAAAATCGTGAACGTCTTCTGTGGTCACAGCAAAATTATGATCTTCTGTGATTCAATATCATGAACTCACAGGAACCCTAGGGCCAAAATTTGTTTACCTGACCCGGCCTGAAGTAAAAACTTCTGCAGACTCCTAGTAGATTTACCCACCTGGTGACTTGAGTGTTGGACAGCTTATCATAGTCTTGCTGCAGTCTGGCTTGTAACGCCTCCTTGACTGCCAACTCTTCCTTCATCTCCCTCAGTCTCTCTCTCGTCTGTCTGGCTGTCTCCAGTTGTCTGGCACTCTCTGACTGTAACATATTGATAAACTTGGTATTTCAGGTAAAATATAAGGGCATGTGTTTTAACTGTTGTATTCCATTTGAAGTGGCTAATCTGTGTTATAAATTTTAAACAGTTATAGCTCACCATTACACTGTATTTCCTTCAATACATTTTAAAATCAGACAGTAAATAAAATATACAATCTTTTAAAGAGATAAAATTTGTTGTTACCAAGCATAAATCGTGTGTTGGAAAAAAAAAATCAGTCTATAAACAAAACACACTTTTTATCGTGGCAGTAGCTAACCTAACATTTGAACATTTTTGCAGCGTTCAATGTGAATTTATCTGGTTCTTTTGTGTTCTACCATATGTGAGGCTTACTATGTTTCCCAATAATAATTTGTGAATGACTATAATCAAATGGCTAAAAATGGTGTAAGTGACGTGCATTACGATGCACTATTAAACTAGATACACGGGGTTTCCTTATTTTATTAAAGTCTCCAATCACAAGTGACATCCGAGTGTAGTGGTACAAATTTTAAACCAGTAGCAGTGGCATACTCCGAGCTAAACATTCTGTTGTCTCAAAGCTCTCTCCCCATTCACGTTATTTTAACAGTTAATTTGAAAATACTCTGATAACTCACGGCCTTGTCACTGAGCCGTCCTCGCGCCTCCCTATACCGCGCCACTAGAGGCGCTCGATGTTTCTCCCACTGAGTGCCCAGTCTCAGTAGAGTCCTCGCCTGCTCCTCCACCAGTTCCTGCAGCTTGCTCGTGTTGGCAGCACTGTCGGGTAGCAAGTCTAGCGTCGTCTGTCTTAGGTCAGCCTCACGCTTGCGCTTCGACAGCACTGCCTCTTGCTTCTGTCTCTCTGTGGCCACCTGAAATAGGAAACAACAGTGTTTTAAATTACTGGAAATCAAACTAACGAGTATAAACTTTAAGCTACCTTATAAGCGCTTGGCTTGACCTTGCGTGAGTGATTAAATTGGCTTGTTTTTTCATGGTGAAATAGTCTCTGGATAACTGAAGCTTTAATGATTTTATTACCATAGTTCATCAAATAACCATGGGTTAAACAAAGTACACTACTATGGTGCATGAGTCAGTAGACATTGAAGTGGTATGGCGAAAAATATCCTAAGTCTTTCGTCCAAAATGTGTATGTTTACAGTACTTGTATGGTAAAGCCGCACTAAACTTTATCTCAGCAAGTGAACAACCATACTCGTCTGGTTAACACTAATTTCCAGACTAGTAACACATAACGTACTATTGCAACCAACCCTTGACCAGTAGATCCTGGGACTTATCACACTACTACCATGTGACAATTGCCTTGTTTCAGAGGTTTACAGCCATTTATTTTGACATTAAAACAACAAATCGATTACCTGAGTAAGTTTGCTGGTTACAGTCTTAATGTCTACGGTAAGCTGGTCCATTCTCTCCCTCAATCTCTCTAGTTCTTCTTGCTCGTTAACTTCATTCTTCTCTTGTTCCTCTACCTCTGGTTCTTTATCCTCCTTCTCTGGAATCTTTTCCCATTTTTTACTTGGCTCCTGTAAATCAAAACTTTATTTAGTTTTATTCTGTTTGAATTTCAGAATAGGAATTTAAATAATACATTGTACTGTTCAAATCTCTCTAAGTAATGAAATCTCTTGTGCCACAGCGCACAACAGTTAGATGTGTAAAAAACAGGAGACAATAATTGTCCGACAATTATAGTCAGTGCAAGCGTTGACGTAATCTTTCAATTTCATTTTCATCAAAGGAACTGTGGTGTTTCAAAAACAACAATGAGGGGGATTTGTTGTATCGAGGAAAAGACACTAATCATTTGTTTAGAAGAGCTTAAATTTGCTATATAGAGGTTATAATAATGATAAATTCTTTATCTTGAGGTGACTTATTCTAGGTAGTGTTTGCAGGGGTGTCCAGAAAATTCAGTTATTTGATTTAGTCATTTAGTCATCAAGCCTCATTGCGATTTTCACCTACAATTTTAAATTGAAACAAATTTTGTGAGGAGATAATTTTGGTGTGATTAAAATTATATTGTTCCATGTGGAGGGAAGTAAAAAGAACAATGTCATGGTATGTCTTTTTTTTTAAAAAAAACTTGCATTTGCATTTTATGCAAATTCAGGGGGTTTTAACCTGGGGTTTCTATTAGATTTGAGAAAGGAATTTTAAATAATACATTGTACTGTGTAAATTTCCATCTTGAAACAGATTCCAATATATAAGGCTAAGTTAAATACAAGGGCAAAATGAAATTCAAGTTTTGAAATTTATTCTGAGAATATTTACCGCTATGGAAGGTAAAAAGAGACGGGGGGAACTAAAAATAAAGATAATGCTTTAAACTGAGCATTTCTTGGTACAAAAACTGCTTTAAACTTGAGGTCCTTGTTCTAAGAACTAACTAGGCTACTGGGTCTTTAAAAATATGATAAAAACATTAACAATCATTCATTCAAACACACATTTCTATTGACTCAAACATAAAACACATAAATTATGAAAATTAGGGGTGATATATGAAAAACACGAAGTTACATTTCCAAACCTACTGAGTAGGCTACTAAGCTAATTTTTTAATAGATTGACACTTGAGATTGGCAACCTAAATTGGAATGAACATGTGGACAAAATCATATCAAAAATTAATTCAGGTTTATGTGCCTTGAGAAAAATGGCAGATTTATGTAGTCAATCAACACTAAAACTAATATGCCATTCCTATATACATTCCCATATATCATTTGGCATCTGTCTTAATGGCTCCACCAAACAAGAAAATCTTGATAAAATTCAAAAATTACAAAAAAAAAGCAATTCGGATCATTAAAAATCTTCATCAAGAAGTATCCTGTAGAGAACATTTCAAAAATCTTCAAATTATTACAGTTTATGGACAATATATTGTTGATACAATTAATTATGGTTTACAAAACTTTGAATTCAAGCAAGCCATTAATAAACAATCCAATTCACCCATACAATACCAGAAATAAATCGGAAATCATACCCACTCATCACAGATTGCAACTCTACACAAAACAACCATCAAATGCAGGAGCAAAGTTTTTTTAGAACTTTACCTAAAGAAATAAAAAAAGAAAATAATGTTAATAAATTTGAAATTAAGTTAAAAAATTATATTACATCAAATCCTATTTATTCAATTGAGGAGTATAACCAGTTGTAAATATGTATTATACGCTATAAGCCCTGTTAGCTATAAGGAAATGACACTATTCCGTTGTATGATTACTCATGTACACATTATGAATAAAGATTGATTTTATTTGATTTGGCCCAGCTGGTCTTGGTCATTAATAAAGCTACAAGGCATCTCATTCCATTCAAGAATCATCTTCCATCCTAATAGGATGAATTCGCCCATCTTAACTTGTATTATAAATCTTTGCTCTTAGTTAGGCTATATAAAACAATCTGATAAAATTAGTTCAGACTTGGCTTACCTTGGTGTACAGAAGAGACGAGGCAATCTGCATCCATGAGTTGACTGGTGGAGAGGAAGAAGAGGCTGCATCGAGGGGAGTGGAGGGGGTAGCAGAGGAGACAGGAAGTCCGAGACAGGTCTGCGCGTGATGTGAGATGATGGAGGGGAGTAATAGGCTGGTGTGCGGAACTTGTTCGTGGAGGAACGGCAACCGGTGAACACAATATTCTCGCCATTCTGTAATCAAACGTACATTTCAAAACTCATTATTGAACATACAAATTCAAATATGTTCTTTTTCAATTAACCACAATTGAGTGATTATAATTAACAATGAAATAATTTACTAAAACATAAAACTTTCACAAATAGCCTATAACAAAAGATTTGTCTATGTGAACCGATTTCTTGTCAACAATTAAAAAAAATATTATTTACATGTATACTATAGGTACTATAGGCTATATTATATTTATATAGGCTATATAAAACCAGTGCTTGAATTGTGGCGGAATTGCATTCCGGTAGGTACCTCTCTTTTGGAAGGATAAACATATTAGCATAATTAGGTATGTAGGTACTAATCACAGTAAATAGGTTACAGTTCCGGAACCTCATCTTTTTACAAGCACTGTATATAAATATCACTAACAAACAAGTAGCCACACATTGAAAATTCTTAATAAATATCTATATATTCTACATTCAGGTTATCATATATGAATTCAGAAACCCTGTAGGGCCTATTAAGGTTTGTAAATTTTTATAAATCTTTTAAAACTGTGCATTTCTGTTTAAAAAACAAGCAATCAGCTTGTTGAAAACTTAATCGCTAGGCCTAAAGGGGACTTTTACGTAAGGTCAAAGAATAAATTGGGTATTGGAATTTTATCTTTAAATCAAGTATTGTAGTGTTTATGATGGACTGTGTACTTTAACTTCTAAGATCATGCATAAAAATTAAAGAAACTATAAATGTGCAAAGATTTGTCAATATCTCCAGTTCTATACAATGTTTAACCTCTATGAGAATCATAAAAAAGCATTTAAGGCATTTTTACAGTTATAAGGATAGCCTAGCAGAAATATCCGTACACAACAACAATTTTGAATTCTCTAATGTGCTGGTGAAAAACCAAGCATAACACTGAAATCCTTGTTTTAACATCCACCAATTCTCTCAATATATTACATTTAATGGCATGATGACCTCAATTAAGTTATTCAATATTTCCACATGTGGTTTCCAAGACAGACTCCAAGTACATTGATAAACTTGTATTCAGTAAATGTTCAAATTTCATAAAGAAAACATACCTTGAGGCGTACAGTCCCTCTTCTGGCCGGGGAGAGAGATTCCAGTCTCGAGAGGCACGGAGACGAAGGATGTTGAAGCCGAGGTAGACTCCGAGGGACAGTGAGGTATTGTCAGCTGCTGTCTCAAGGCTATGGAAAACCTCTGGCGCAAACTGGACGATGATTCTAAAAACACTCTTCAAGTTGAACAGTCAATTATAATATGCTTAGCCTTATTTAATTGTTAACTAACGCTAATTAATGCCTCCTTTGATATTTTTGAGGATAGCAGGCTTACCGGAATGGGAAAGAGTCCAGACAACAAACATAAAACTTAACACTATAGTCTATAGGCTACACAAAACATAAGAAATATTTCACTGTCACTAGACCTAAAGAAAACTTGCTTTTTCTTAGTTGTGGATGCTGTCAGTGACGGTGAAATATTCTTTTGTATATGTAGTGTAAAGGTTGTGTTTCTTCTGCCAGTGTGAACTCTCTCCCATTCAGGTAAGTCTGCTGTTCGTACAAAAATCCTAAAATCATAGGTCTGTGTAATTTATGTTACATCCTTTATAATTATAGATTTAAATTAAAATTTGTTTATTGTTTATTGAATCCAGGATTAAGGATATTAAGTAAAAAATGTGGTAGGGCTACAGTTCCGCAGAGAACCTACAATATATTATCGGAAGAAATGTTAGTTCGATATAAATATCGATTAAAATATTTAAATCAACATAAATATTGATTATCTGTTATAGGTGGCCCGATATTATTTTACAGTGTGCTTCTTGCGGCGTTTAGGTTAGATTAGTTTATTTCATGAATCTCATGGTAAAAGAAGATAGGTAGTAGTAGGCCTACGAATACAAATTGATGTAAAAGTAAATTTATCTCTTTAACAAATTACACATTATAGATTTTTTAAATGTTTATTTTATAAATTCTACCTTGTTTGTTATTACCATGACCTAAACTAAAGGGGGAAATCCTAAAAGTGTTAGGTACCCTACATTTATTGTGTCTTAAGAAAGGAAAAATGTGTAGGGAAAGAAAACTCTTATCAGGTAAGGAACTATCTATCAAGGAAGTAACCGCCTGTCAGAGAAAGAATAATCTGTAGGAAAAAGGACTAATAATCGAAAAAGGAAGTTAACCCACAATCTTTTAATAAGAGAATGCTTATGGATTGTTTTCTCAGTTCCAATAGTATTCAAAGTAGGATGATTTTTTATCCGTAACTGACTTATGCCTATCGTTTTTTTTTTTTTTTAGAATTACCTTCAGGTTGTGAAGACGTTTTGTCTGATTCTTTCGGCAACTTCTCAACCAGAAACATAAACACTTTTCTAACATCAGCTTCAGACGCATACAGAAATGTCTGATAACCAATCTCTCCAGTATATCCCAATTCCTGTTGAACAGTAAAAGAACGATAAGACAATAGTAGTGGGGAGATTAGTACCTATACAGAATTTAGTCTACTAAAAATAGCTTGAAAAGTGTTTACCTGGTTTAGTTAATCAATCATAGGCCTAATACATTTTGTCTTATCTCCTAAAAAATAATTTAAAATGTATATATTAACACAGATGCTGGTACATGCTAAATTTTAAAAGCATTGACAACTAACAAGCCAAAACATCAAAACAAATAAATAAACACTTTTAAGTGACACCATATGATGCAAATAAAAATGTTATAATAAACAAAACTATGTTAACATCTGTTTTGGGATAGATTTTGAAAAAAGTTCAAAAAATATAATTAGAAATTTTTTTTTAACAAGTATTTATTTACAATTTATTCTATACTAGAACAATAAGTAAATTTAATAACCATTTTAACATGGGTTAGTTACACTCCATCAAGTGCACTAACATACAAAAACTTTTATAAAGTTTTACTAAAAACGATTTGGAAGGTCTATTGGATTAACTCGTTTGAGCCTATATGTAGCTTCACTATTATCGAGGAGGTTAACTGCCAGGAAATTTGGATGGCTTTATAATTTTCTTTGATATTTTTCACTTCGTTTTTTTATTTCTTCTCTAACATATGGTAATTTTGTATCTTGATGAATTACATTATTTGTGACAAACCAAGGTGCTTGTAAAATCTTTCTCAGTGTTTTTGATTGAAATCTTTGAACTATTTCTGTGTTTGAGTTGGAAGTGGTTCCCCAGAGTTGGATACCGTAGGTCCAAATAGGTTTCAATATAATTTTGTATAAAAGTAATTTATTTTCAACAGATAATTTTGAATTTCGACCAATGAGCCAATTTAGTTTGTTTGTTTTTAAAATTAAATGAAGTCGTTTGTTCCAAAATGTGTGAATGCCATGTAAGCCGTCTGTCGAGATGCATACCAAGGTACTTAACTTCGTTGGATTGTGGAAGCATGACTTTATTCAATGTTACTGGGGGACAAGTTCTTGTAGACATAGTAAATGTAACTTGAACGGATTTTTTTTTCATTTACTTTAATTTTTCAATTCTGTAGCCACTGAGACAAATCGTCTAATGCAGCCTGAAGGTTTGATGATGCCAGAATAGAATCCTGATTTGATGATAAAAAAGCAGTGTCGTCTGCAAATGTTGCAACCGTAATACCCTGAGGTCATAAGTGAACAAAATATACAAAATAGGTCCAAGAACACTGCCTTGTGGTACACCTGATTCAATTTCATGCACATCTGTAACTATATCTTGATATTTAATTTGAAAAAAGCGTTTGGACAAATACGATTTCAACACTCCATAGTATGTATGGGGCAGCAAAGTTTTAATTTTGAACAATAATCCTGGGTGCCAGACTTTATCAAACGCCTGGGCTACGTCCAAAAAAGCAGATGAACAAAAACGTTTATTTTCAAGATCTTCCTTGATTACATTCACTATTCTATGCACTTGCTCAATGGTGGAATGCCTTCGGCGGAATCCAAACTGATGGGAAGGCAACAATTCTTTTTCATCAATTATAATTTGGAGTCTTTAAAAAAAAAGTTTTTCAAAAACTTTAGAAACCACGGGAAGAAGAGATATAGGCCGATACGAGGATGCTTGATTTAAAAGTTTACCAGGTTTCAGAATAACAACAATTTGTGAAACCTTCCACTGTATTGGTAAGTATTCAAGGCGTAAAACTGCATTGAAAAGTACTGTAAGGAAAACTATTCCTTTTCTAGGAAGCTCTTTCAACACTTTACCTGTTATCAGATCATAATCGGGGGCTTTTTTGCCATTTAAATCGTCTTTTATTACTTTAGCTACTTCAGATGGTGTGAACAATTTTATTGGTAAATCAAGTTGATTTGGAGAATCGAGGAATTCCAAAATTTCTTGTTCAACATTTGAATTAATATTATATGGCTTGAACACATCCTTGAAGTATGAAGCAAATACATCTGCTTTCTCGATATTGTTTTTTGCCCAAGAACCGTCTTCTTTTAGAATAGGTGGAATGCAAATTTGTGGACGTTTTAAGTTTTTTGTAACTTTCCAAAAGGAGTAGCCACTAGCTTCAGATGGAGAAAGGTTTGATGTGAAATCTTGAAATCTGTCATTGTTTAATTTAAACAGTAACCATTTTAGTTGTTGAGTGGTCCTGTTTAGATTTCTTTTATCCGTCTGGTCTCTAGAGTTTTGCCATATTCTACGGAGTCGGCGATTTTCGGCAATTTTCCTATTAATTTCAATTGGATAGCTTATTCCTGATTTTATATTAAGTTTATTCTGGTCTGGAGTTGCTCTCCAAGCGGAGTCTTGAACTGTTTTGTTGAAATATTCAACAGCAAGATTCAAATCTTCTTCGCTCTTCAAGACACAGAAATCTTTAAATTTTGATCCATTTATTCACGAAAATAATTCCAATCTGTATTTTTGTTGCATAAATGTGGTGGAATAGGTGTGAATATAACATTTGAAGCGATTGTTCAAATTACAGGTGAGTGGTCTGAGGAAAGGTCCAGAGATTGCTCGATTGTCACAAAATCTCGGGATACACCTTTTGTAACAAAAAAATCAAGAAGGTCTGGTATTTTTTGACGATCAGAGGGCCAATATGTCGGTTCACCTGTCGATAGAGTATCAAGGGTCCGTTCTTGGATTGACTGCAATAGTTGTCGACCCCTGGGAGTTGCCAGACGGGAGCCCCATGTAGGATGTTTGGCATTGTAGTCTCCTCCTGACAAAAATTTACAGCCTAAAGTGCAGAAGAAATCATTAAACTGTTGGCGTGTAATGTTGTGTCTAGGTGGGCAGTAAATAGAACTTATAGTAAGTGGGCCTGTCTCAAACTCCACTACAACAGATGAACTTTGGATGAAATCGAACTGATATTTTGGCAATTCGTGGTGCTTGATATGACTTTTAATCAAGATAGCACAAAATCCATGAGCTCTATTGCTAGGATGGTTAGTGTTGTAAAGACTGAAATTTGGAATTTTACAAAAGTTTAAATCAGTAAAGTGAGTTTCAGAAATAAGAATAATGTCCAACTTATGTTTTAAATCAAAACATGGCAGCTGGTTATCCTGTATACCATTGAAGAAATTAAATTTAGACATGTCACTCCAAGAATTTAAGGATTCCCTGGCACTGAGATACGGTCGGATACCAATCAATTTACCAACCAAATGTGATGGCTGTGGAAAAGAATTTAATACAGACCATGCCCTTATATGTCCTGTAGGTGGCCTAATTACAAAAAGACACAATGAAATTAGAGATACTTTAGGAAACATTATGGAACAGGCATGGGGGAATTGTATCAAAGAGCCCCTTTTAGCAGAGAATGGAAATGCAAACAGGCCTGCAATTAAAGCTGACTTGGCATGTAGAGGGGTGTGGGAGACACAGAGGAAAGCTTGATATCCGTGTCGTAGACACCGATGGTCCCTCATATGTCTCCAAACCTCATGACAATGTCATAAAAAATGCAGAAGAAGAAAAGAAAAGAAAGTATAAGCCTGTGAGAGCCCTAATGCCTCTTTCACTCCTTTGATAACATCAGTTTGCGGAATCCTAGGCAATGATTTTCAAACACTAATAAGAGCATTTTAAAAATAATTTTAAATTTCCAAGACATCGCCTCTGTCTGTATGAAAGATCTCCATTCTATATGAGTCTCAGACTTTACAACAGTCTACCTGCCAAATTCAGAGAAATTACCAATATTTCAAAATTCAATAGCGAGTTTAAGATGTATCTTTTACAAAAACAGTTTGAGTCTATTTCTGAATATTTGAATAACAGTTAAACATTTTTTTTATTACAGTAGGCCTACATTTATTTAGTTTATAGGAATGTTTTGTAAATCTAGTTTTAATAATGGACAATGTCACCTGTTTCATCAGCATTGCTGAAACTTGAAATGTATTGTGACAATAAAGGAATATTTCATTTCATTTCATTTAATTTCATTGGCTGAAAGATTGTCAGAAAAATGGGTTAAGCCTTACAGCCTAGTAGTTAATTGGATAAGAACGAGACTGACTTGCTCAATTTTAAGGGCAACAAGCATGTGTCTGAGAAGATCTCGAAAAAAATAGAGATCTGCTCGAGAATTCGAAGATGGAGCAGGCATCCAACATATATATTGAAAGAATCAAAATTTTTGTAATATCTGTAATTTAGATTTATTTGTCTTGTAATATTTTAAGTTATAATAAACATTTTATTGTTAGTTCCGTCCGGTGCACTGTAGAGTTTGTGTTTTGTTTACAATTATTTGTTTCTTGTTATTTCAGTCATTTAAAACCATGGTGTAAATAAATACTTGTTAAAAAAAACAAAAACTTTATATTTTTTAATTAACGTTTGATTACTTAAACATGTTTAAAACCCATAATAAAAATAAATAGAATTTCAGCAAAGCAAAATATGAAGTTGTTAGATCATATAATTCAATTAAAAAAACCCAACAACGTAAACATTGAATCATGTCTATAATTAGTCGATTTTATTGATATTATTTTTATGAGCTGACATTACATTTACAGTAGACTCCCTCTTATCCGGACACCTTTTAACCGGACTACACTCGGCAGAAATTACAACTCTTTAACCGGACAATTTGTATCAGCACATCGATTTAACCAAACTAGATCGGAAGGAAGTGGGCAGTACTGAAGCTACTGTTCTCGTGGGAAAGATTTGAGACCAGTGATCATGTCTCTAAATAAGATGCTCTCCTAAAATTAAGTCAAATACTGTATTACAGTATGCATTTAAACGGTCCGTTTAAACGAGTTTTTGGAGATCGGTTTAACCGGAAAACCCGTTATCCGGACTGGCCTCGGTCCCGAGAAGTGCAGATAAGAGGGAGTCTACTGTACACTCAGTTTAATTTAACATACAATTTAGGAAACTGTTCCACTTTTACCTTCTCAAAGATTTAAATGCAAATTCCTCAGCTCTATCATTGAAAATCTGTAATAAAACATGTTCTCAGTATTTTTTTGGTTAGTTAATACTTACGATGCAAGCTTCCGCTATCACAGTCCCCAGTTTATACCTCGAGGACATGGAAGGAGGCAGTTTTGAGGGAATGTCGAGTCCTGGTTGTATGACATTAATACACCGAGCTGCTGCTGCTACAACCATTTCAGCTGTGAACTGCCGTAGGCTTACCACGTCTTCTTCAAAGGTGCTGTGGGAGAGAAAATATGATTAATTTTACATAAGCTGTGTTTATATCGGAGTTATTATTTTTATTTATTTATTTATTTTTTTAAGAGGTTGGCGGCCTCTTTTAACCTTGCATTTGCCCATCCACATAGACTAGAGATCTGTGCGTGGAACGTATCCAGCAAAGCAAAGGGGTGAGCCGGTACAGTACAAAGGTGAACTGTACTGATAAAAGTTTTATGGCAGTGACCAGGATCTGAACCCACGACACTTCTGCCTTGGGCCCAAAGTCTGTGACGCTACCAACTGAGCCTCCAACTCACCTATAAGTTACACTACCGTAGTCTTTGTTTGACATAATGTCAATTATTTTAACAGTTTTTTTGGCTTTTACAACAGAAATTTTGTTTTCCACAAGAAATAGAAAAGATATGTTTACAAAAATATTGTTTCAAAAAAAACCTTTGAACTTGTAAAAAGGGTTTTAACTGAACCGCTTGAACATTTATTGCCTAAAAAGAATACAAATGAGCTGGAATATAAGTTAACACGTTCGCGGCGGCACGTCAAATGGCGGGCGTATCCCCAGTACGGCACAGCCCTCAGCGCCAAACAAACCCAATTGCCGCGTGTGATTGGCTTTCCAAATTCGGTCTGACGAATAGCAAATAACGTGCGAGGATGTCCTGCTTTACAACGAGAGTGGACGTAGTTTGCTGAACACCCACAGATAGCAGCACTGCTTGGAACGTAGCCGGTCCCATTGGAATTGTAGGCCTATTGCCAAATGGAGGGAAAAAGACAGGACAAAAAGTAGATTTTAAAATTGCCAAACGGGGATTTTACGGGAAAATTTACTACCAACCTACAGCACAACAAAATACAGTATACTATTGAGCAGTACTGTGCGAGGTTTCAAGTTTCTAGCTCTAATCCTGGCTTAAAAATAAAATCATTTCGTACCGCATTGCAGCTTGGGAGCGATCGCACCCACCAGGATGGCATTAGGGTTCCGTATGGGAGCGATCGCTCCCATGCCGCCGCGAACGTGTTAAGGAAGTTTGTTGTGGCATGCTATCCCCATTATTTTAGAAATAGCTTAACCCATTCCTGACTTTTGAGGAGTTATTTGTCAAGTATCATGCACTTGGCTTAAAATACCTACTTTGTATGGTCGCCATTTTGTAGAACAGTATTAACAGTTGTTAGAACTGAGTAGCTAAATAAGGGCCAATGTACAATGTTTTAGTAAAAAAACTCATTAAAAATGTAATGAAATAAATACCTAGCCTAACACTCTTTTGCTTAAATTGATAATAAAATTTCCTTTCATATAACAATAATTTTAAATAAAAACATATTTTATAGCAATTTTCAATACGTATATATGCATTTTATATAGGCCTAGGCCTATATATATAAAATTTCTTTTGAAAGTAACCTTGAAAAATAAAAAATAAAATTATCTATTTCTTGGTAGTTAAAATGTATAAATGGTAGGCCTATTCAATTTGTTACACAAAAAACTAAATTTGGTTTGTTTAGCCTATAAAATCCTTCATTTTATAGCTGTTTTTGTAAAACTACCGTAGGCAAAACGACAAAATAGGCCTAGGCCTAATACAATTGTTGCACCAAAATTTCACGTGTTGGCTACTAAGTTAAAATGTTGGGAGTATTTAAATAAATGTAAAATAATATTCTAAGCATAATTATTACCCTACTTTACATTGGGAAAAATTAGGTTAATCAATAATAATGCATAATAAGCTAATAATAACGCATAATAATGCATTAAGCGTGAGGCCCGTCCTTAATCTTTCGTAACCTGACATGCTAACCTACTTTTAACTTACATAATCTAACCTACCTTCAAAGGACTTAAGCTTATGTAGTCACAAATACACATAAAGCATGGCCTGCCCTCACCACATGTCTTTTCTCTGATAAAACCAATTTATAGAATCATACAGCAAGTTTGGTTAGTTTAGAAGAGTTCCATTTTTTACTTAACGCTTAAATTGTTTTGCTAGAGGTTTGAGGCAGCCCTCAAACCTCTAGTTTACTGCCGGACTCTATAAAAGCCACTGTCAAACACAACACATTTATTTACAAGCTTAAACAATATTTAATCAATAGGCCCTACTACACCACAGCAGAGTATATCGAGGAACACACTTTTCAACACCTTAGATAACGGGGCTCACTTCGAGAACCAAACAGATGAATCTTGACGATTCCCCAATCACCCGATTGCGGAGAAGACTTCAGAAGTAAGAAGTAAGTAAGTAAGGGTTCATAATAGCATCATGGTTGAATCTAAAGTGTAATAACTTGCTACTAATGTATTTTGAAGTTTGAAAATGGACTAATGCCCGAAACATGTCACTTCTTTTTATAAAATATACAGTAGAACCCCTCATATACGGCCTTGGTTTTACCGGTCCTCTGTTTATCCGGCCCCTTCCAGGAAGCCAATATCAAAATTTTTTTCTCACACCTTACAGACGTTTAGATACAAGCACTAGTCTTTGTGACTGCTTAAGTCATAAAATAAGTTGTTCTCATTATTTATCTGTTTGTTTATACATTTATTTGCTGAGTCACTATACTCAGTTGAGCTAGTAGGCCTAACCTCTGATCAGTTGGCTGATTATTTCCAAAGTGGGTTTAGTACAGTACAGTACTAGTACATTAATTTTTGTATTTCACAAAATGGTTAAGAATGTTGAGTAGAAATGCAAGTACCATTTAAGTCCTAATGATCTTTAAGTACAATTTATTGTCATTTTTACCTCCATTTAATATGTTTTGTTACCTGGAATCATAATATTTACGTAGCCTACATTCATTACTTACAGTAATGACTTTAACCAACAAATATTTTTTTCCTTTTTACAAACATGTTTATTTTTCTAAAAATGATCCCAGAACAGAATTAAATGATACTTTATATTGCATATATTGATTACCTATTATTATTAGGTACGAATTGTCATTTTCATAGTAAGTTGGTTTATCCGGCCAAATCGTTATCCGGCCAGGGGCTTGGTCCCGTGGTGGCCGGATATGAGGGGTTCTACTGTAATATTCAGGGTGCTCAGTTGTACTTATTTACTTAAATATTTAACTTGCTACTAAATACCGGTTAAGTTGATGGTGGGATGGACAGGGGAGTAAACTTATTCGGGGTATTTGTAAATCGAGTAACACATTTCCTTGAATATCTCGCTCATCAGATCGTCATTCCGGTTAGTTTGAGTAGCCTACCGGTACATGACGTATTTTGTTTGAGTAGCCTACCGGTACATACATAACATGTTTTGAATAAGTTAAAGGGCTGCACTTTACTTTAGGTCCTACACAAACAACCAAATGAAAATATCAATTATTCTATTGTTTCATTCGATATATCGTTTGGTTAGTTAGGTTAGGTTAACCTTACCTAACTAACCAAACGATATATCGATCAATATTTTCATTTGAATGAGTGTAGAACCTAAAGTAAAGTGCAGCCAGTTACGGTTGTTTATCATTTTTTTTCAGGATTTTTGGCGTGAAAGGAATACCATTTTCTGTATCAGCATTGAATTTAAAGTAGAAAGGGGAAAAAATTCAAAAATCAGATGCAGACCCTAAAATGCATATTTAACCTCAAAAACCTAACATAAGCATCGGCCTTCCAATTACTGTACTACCAATATTTAACTTATACAGCCTTTGTCTAATTGCAAAGTGAGGTTATGTTATGTAATCCAGTTGTCAGTTGTTGTAACAGTTTAGTCTTTTGTCAAAATGACTTCAAATACTAAGTTAACAAAATAACAAACCTACAGTTTGTGATCTTTCCATAAAAACTCCTCTTGGCAGTATGGTAAAGTGACAAAATAATGTCTAGCGTTATATTCAGAAATATTCTTTAACTTACCTTCTAAGTTACATACATGGATAGCCTACAAGTTACTAGGCTACTATTATATTTAATTAATACATTAATAGGTCTAATAGTACCACACTAGATGCTAATGAGTTTTAGAATAAATAAAGTGGATAATTAATTATTTGTAATTAAACTAGCAGCTGTAGTGTTTTTACTATTAGCTTGACAAGTCAAAATTAAGACAAATTAAAATGTTCCTGATCAGGGGCAGGGTAATGTTAACTTATAAATGTAAAGTTTTAATAAAATGCACTCACCAACCGATTTCCTTGAACGATTGAAGAATTATTTTATCGACTTCTTCCATTTTATGACAAAAGTGTGCTACTGCAATAACCCGTTTACATAACAAGTAATAAAGAATCAAATAAATATAAATAATTTAATCCCTATTCCCTAAAGTGACAGGACACTACCAACTAGTACCACTACTAGTACAGACAGACAGCCGGACAGTGTTTCCACACGACCAAAAAAATAATCCCGCTTACTGGGTCGAAAAATCCCGTTTTATCCCGCTTTTAAATTGTGAAAAATCCCGTTTTATCCCGCATGATTTTTTTGGTACAATACCTAGTATTATACTTGACGTATCATGTTTATAAAGTTGTTTAAACATCACTATTATATTTTGATACAGTTTTTAATCAATTTGAGTTAGTTTTTCTCTAAAATTAAGTAGAAAAAAATAAAAATAGTCGTCACAGCCGAAAATCCCGTTTCATCCCGCATCCCGTTTTAATCCCGCTCAAGGTCTAAAAATCCCGTTTTCGGGATAATAATCCCGCGAATGGAAACACTGAGCCGGAACGGTGACGACAGGGACAGACTAGACTAGACAGTAGACCAGACCTAGACCGACACCGACCAGACCAGAGTGACCAAGACGAGACAACTCGATTCGGATTCGATTACAAGGGGTTTTCTGTACATTTGGCACAATTTCGGCTATGTCAATCTGGGTAAATGTTTTTAACATGGGCCCTACCAAATAGTGATTATGCTGTTGCTGTCATAGTGTCCATAAATAAACGGTATCAGCATTCTGACACATACTTTCTCCCATAAGATTGTCAACAACCTTTCTCATGAGTAAGCGGTGAGAGTAAATATACGGAAATGGGATTTGTACAATTTTCTTCAGAATTTAAAGGACTATAACATACTAAATTTTTATCAAAATCGTTCTAGCCAATTTTGGGAAAATCCGATTTTCCGTTATTTTATGGTGATTTTTATGGGAAAATAACATAATTTACCATAACTTTTGAACCGTAATTTTTACAGAAATGGGATTCGTATCATTTTGTTTAGAATATAAAGGACTATAACATACTAAATTTTTATCAAAATCGTTCGGGCCATTTTTGAGAAAATCCTATTTTTCCAGTTTTTTATGGGGGTTTTATGGGAAAATAACATAATTTACCATAACTTTTGAACCGTAATTTTTACAGAAATGGGATTTGTACCATTTTGTTCAGAATTTTATCAAAATCGTTATTCGGGCCATTTTTGAGAAAATCCGAAAAAAATGAAAAAAACGCCTGGAGATACCACGGATTAGAACCTACATACCAAATTTCATTGAAATCGGACCACAGGTGTAGTCCCTAGCTCTGTACACATCCAGACACACAGACACACACACACACACACACACACACACACACACACACACACACAGACATCACTTCAAAAACCACTTTTTTGGGTCCAGGGGGACCCAAAACGAATATATCCACTCAAACTCCAAAATTTTGACGAAAACAATACTTTCTCCATATACTATGGTATAGGGGGAGAAAGTAAAAATGGATTGAACCATAGATAAAACCTATTTTTACCCCATAAAACATATGTTTTATCTATGATTGAACCTATATACTTAAATTAACATAACAATTTATCGATAATAAGATAAAACAATACACCCACCGCAGCAAACCTGCAGACTGAGACAATTTCCATTTGCCTTATTGGATTTATACTATAATGTCAACTTAAAAATATAACATTAATTCCCTATTTAAATATAATTAGTTTAATCAACAAGTACTTAGGTTTGCTGCATCAGGGAGGGTAAAAGCGCATCAGGTCCCGCGTCCAGGTCTTACCATGAGTACTACGGGAATAGGTAGCTTATTCCCTATATAGGAAATTCGTTAAAAACCACGAAAAACACATCATTAAAACTGTATTTTACCCGGTAATTGATTTCTAAGAATTTTACGTTTCTAAAATGTAAAATTCATGTAATTTAATGTTTGTGAATAATTAGTCGAATTTGACTCGGATAATGCAATTCTGTTGTCCATTTGTCAAAATAAATGCGTTATTGGGCATCAATTAAATTTTTGTAAAAATATGACATGGCAGCATGAATGGGATTATCACAAAAGTGGAAAACTCTGTTTGGTATTGGCAGTTTGGGAAAATATAATTTTAAGTTTTCTTTTTCACTAAACCATTTTTTTTTACTATTAATAATTATCAACTAGTTTACATGTTGCTCAAATTCGAGCAATTGCAAAATATTACCTAGAAGTTATTTTAAAACGAATAACAGTCATATTTACAAGGAGTTTAAAAGAGTCAACTCAAAGATTACCGGTGTGTAACTCAGACCATGTTAACTTCGTTATTGATAAACCTAAAGCATTCCGGCCGGTTTTCTCCTTCTCGAAATGCCTCGCTCTACAGGCAACACAGGTCATTGATAGAGGGTCAATTGAGAACGAAAAGTCGTTTTGGGGTAGTGTTACCCAAGTAGCAAAAATCGTTGGCAAATCGTTGGCCCAACGTTTCTGTCGATCGTGTTTTGGCACTCAGTCTTACGGTTGGCCAACCAACCAATTTTTGCGGAAGGGCCAACCATCCCATTGGGCATAAACATAAAAAACACACAATAATAAAGATTTTGTATGAAAAGAATAATAATTATGAGTTGAGTAAATTGATTAAATCGTTCATAAAAACTTATTTTGGAAATAAAATGACATAAAATTTTTTTTGGCCGAGACGGGTCTTGAACCCGGTACCTTCGACATGTGAGCCTCACGCCTTACCTCTGAGCTAACTGTGCTTGTTGATTAAGAGTGTTTTCAAGTGGTAAAAGAGTAGCCGACAGGTGCAATGGTCACAATTAATACTTGAAATATTTTTGATGCTACAGTATAATATGATTCTGTTAATCTGTTTAGGCCTCAAGTAGTTGAATTGTTTTTCTGGTAGTTGGAGAGGATACTAGTATTTGAATATAGATTATTTAATTACCATTAGATTAGTAGGCTACTGTTATAATTGATTGTTATATAACTAATTAATCTTTTCTCTATAACTATTAAAAACTTGCTTGAATAAGTTAAAGAATATTTAAAAAAAATGAATGATAATAATTATTATATGTTAAGCAGGTGTTCCCCACTGTATCTAGTATCACAACATCATCTGACTACATTCATTATTGATCCAAATGTTTACAATATTTGTCTTATATTCTGCTGCCATAACATTTATGTACTTTTAAATAAATCAATTTGATAAAATTCGTTTTAGAATGTTTTATACTTAAACCCAACGAATGCCCAACGAAGGCCCAACGATTCTTTCCTTTGTAGGGCCAACGAATACCAGTTTCCGTTGGGCCAACGTTGGCAAATCGTTAAAATTTCTGCCAACCATTTCCCAACCGTGCCGACCATTTCCCAACGTTGGGCCAACGATGTGTGCTACTTGGGTAGGGCGCATTTGTAATCTAATAGTTGAGATTGTCCAGGGTCAGGTGCTGACTGTGATGATTACGCCTCTTGTCTATGTTTCGTTGTCGTCGCGTCGGAGGCATTTAAAAGAAAAATAAAACAACAAATAAACAAATTATAGCTACACAAAACAACTATAAATGCACAAATTTCAGTTACAATCATGCTAACTCGATCCGTCATAGCGACACAAAACAACGATAAATACAAATTTAATATAAATTTAAGATACAACCATACTAACACACCGTCTTGGGGGTTATGTTTACACAAACTCAAACAGTAAATATAAATGTACTCAGTGCGTTTCATTGAATTGAAATAGTTATTTTCCTACAGTTACCTAACAATGTACATGTTCTCTCACTGATTTGAGAAAGCAAAGTGGCCAATTCACTCATCAGTGAGACAATGTTAACATTGTCTCACTCTAATTACTTTGTCTCACTCCAGATTTGCAGCGTGAAGGCACGAAATAGTCTTGACTTTACATCTCGCGAGTATAGAAGCATGTACGGTTATGCATATAAGAATTTATTACTTATAGTAGGGCCTACTATAGCTCCGAAAGTGAAGTATTATTTCAATTTGTTCTAATTATCTAACTTTTAAGCAATTCTACATTTTGTAAAAATGAAGATGTTATGTAATAGTTATTTGTGCAACTAGTGAGAAAAGTGAGCAATTGACTCACTCGAGAGGAATGGTTTCTCGAGTGAGGCAATTGTACTTTGAACTCGAGTTGCACATATTATACTTTTCCTACAGTTACCATAAAACAAATAAATTTGTGAAGAAACATAACCTAGTTTTACACGGAAGTGAATTTTTAATGTAACATTTAATGTGAAGTGACAAATACAACAGTACAACTCTGAACTCAGCTGACCAGCTGATTTACAGCCAGTGCTGCCAACGTACTTCGCGCGCATACGACGTTGCCTGCATGTTACGCGCTCACTATTTCGTGCCCTCACGTTGCAAATCTGGAGTGAGACAAAGTAATTAGAGTGAGACAACATTGTCTCACTGATGAGCGAATTGGCCACTTTGCTTTCTCAAATCAGTGAGAGAACATGTACATTGTTAGGTAACTGTAGGAAAAATAAATAACAGCAATTAAATTATACAGCTGATCAAAATGTAAACAATTATGTTCTTCATAAGGATAACATGGGAACTTTCAAAGCCACTGGGGCAGAGCCCAAGGGGCTTTTTCGAAAATGTAAGGCCAGTTTGCAAATCTACGCGACACGCTCTTTCCAATGAGACGTCAATGGATAAAATCGGTTAAGAAATGGCGAAGGAGTTCAACCGACAAAGTTTCATGTAGCGTATTAATTATATAGATTGAGATGGGGATGCCACCTATGCGCGACGCGCGTATTCTAACCCAAATATGAGTGAAGGATGAGTATAGAATGGAGTGTGTTACTTATGTAGCTTTGTTACTGATTAAGATTAGCTGTTTTATTAGTCAGAACCATCTATTTAAGCCCCGATAATAAAGGACTGCAGGGTCCATCCATCAATTTAATCAACAAATATTCTTCGTTGAAATAGCTAAAGTATCAAGTCATATGCAAACAAAGCAGCAAACACAGCGAATGAAAGTAGCGAATAACATTGTCTCACTCTCACT